GAGTAAGGAGTTGAGAAGATTGCCTTAGCAGAAGACGCATCTGTCACTTCTTCTGTTGGTAAATTGATTTGCACCGTTTATACATATTTGGAGTCAAATCTGAGAGCATGAGTCCCCCAGTTTCAGACTCAAGCATTTTTCTCAAAGGCCCTTCAAGAGCCTTTCCTCAGACAGACTCCCCACCTTCACCCCTGTGTTGAGGAGAAAGGAAACATAAAACAGTTAAAGTTATTCAAGACACGGAGCCCTCCAGAACAGCTAGAAGAACCATTGCCAACAGAGGTTATATCTTGTCTCGTGGTATAAAGATACCTACTGTGGGAATAACAAATGGGAAGCTCACCCATGTAACTGGTAACCTTCTCACAAGGCAATAACTGAGTAACAAGTTTTAGTTACTTTGTATTGTTATTGCAAGACATCACCGCCAGAGCAACTCATAAAAGCAAGCCTTAAATTGGACTCACGTTTTGTTTCCTGGGGTTGGAGATCAGGATTGCAGCAGGCACAGCAGAGAGCTCCCTTCTTGATCTGGAAGCACGAGGCAGAGTACACACTAGGAGTAGCAGCTGTTCAAAGTCCACCTCAGAGACACCTCCTCCAACAAGGCCATATATGCTAATGCTTTCCTAACATTTCCACCAAAGGGCACCAAGGATTCAAGTATGTGAGTCTATGAGGCCATTCTCTTCCAAAGGTCACCAATGCTGTCAAGCTCCAGCAAGACTGTTTCAGCAGGGCTTCCCTGGTCATTTATATCAGTGTTTTAAGAGCCTTATTTGAGATTACATTTGCTTCCTCTCCCACTTGAGCTACTCTAGTCATTTCTGATGGGTAGTGTAAGGCCCTGGTTTGATGATGTTTCTTTGTCTATATGGCACATCTCCCTATCTGCTACTTTTAGTTGTCATTTTACTTTTGCTAGCTATATGTTTAATAAAAACCACTCATCCAATACTGAAAAGATAAGTATAATAGATCATTTTTCTATATGGCACATAATTGATGTAGTTTGAAAATCAAGTATATGCTGTTTCTATTTTTGAAGATCTTATTGTAATAAAAATGGAAAGGGGCCGGGCAGTGGTGGCGCACGCCTTTAATCCCAGCATCGGGAGGCAGAGGCAGGCGGATCTCTGTGAGTTCGAGGCCAGCCTGGTCTACAGAGTGAGTTCCAGGAAAGGTGCAAAGCAACACAGAGAAACCCTGTCTCAAAAAACCAAAAAAAAAAAAAAAATGGAAATGGGAAAATAAGAGTTAAAGAAAAGCATGTATCTGGCCATTGCCACTCTGCGGCTGAGTTCAGAACTTGACAAGTGAGCTGGGGATGAGATGGGATGAGTAGATCCTCACCTCATGGAGACCTGGCCTCTCATTCTAGTGGGTAGAAAAACAGTGGGAACAAATACCTTTTGTATTCAATACTTCAATAAGGGGTTAACATGTGAAGGTTTTTGCCTCTTTTTTTTTTTTGTTAGTTTTTTCTTTTCGTGCTTTCTCCTGATATGAAACAGAGTTCACTGTTCATGTTTATTTTGGAGTTCATTTGTCTTAGCTGGCACTAACTCAATATCACCTCTTGTAATTCTCAGACTTTTGTAAGAGAAAAATCAATGTGTGAAGTAATAGTTAATGAAATCTAAGCAACAATGACATTTGCACACTTAATAGCAATAGACAAAGCTTTTACAGTTCAACAATTTTCTGGGCTGATAATCTTAATTTCTTATGTTATGTCACACACGCAATTTAGATTCAATCCTTTTTATAACTATTTTATTGATTCTTTGAAATTTGATACCAAATATTTTGATCATATTTACCTGCAACTCCCTCCCCTTATCTTCGCCCATATTCACCCCCACTCAACAGGTAAATAGATGGAACTAGAAAAAAATCATCCTGAGTGAGGTAACCCAGACCTGAAAGACAAATATGGCATGTATTTGTTTATACATTAGCTGTTAAGTCTTTGATAAGCAGGCTATGATCCATATAACCACAGAGGTTAGATATAGATAAGGACCTAGAGGTGAGAGAGAAGGAATTCCCTGGGAAGGGGAAATAGAATAGATAGTTATGGATGAATGGGGAGGGATGGGAAAGGGAGGATCAAATGGGGAGGAGAGGAAAGAGGAGGCAAGGGAGGGAATACTGGGAGGGATAGCTAAAATTAAGTGCTATTTGAAAGGTCATATGGAAACCTATACAGTGGAAACTTCTTAAAATACAACTTGTATAAAATAATTCTAAATTGGAATCACCAATAACAGGGGAGACAAAGCCCCAACTAGACATCTGTCACCACTAAATGAAACCACCACTGCTGGAGTGGATTACATCTAATCTAATTTGGTTGTTGGCCAAAAAGACCCCATCACAACCCCTAAATTATCCAGGCTATTGCCAAGGCTGTTGGTTGCTCTCCACAAACTGATGGTAAGGTCTTACTGTTGAAGACAACACCCATATAACTCACTGAACATGGGGAAGTTGAGCTGGTGCCTAAGTAGAGTCTTCATCTCTACTGAATAGTAGTGTTAATACTGGAAAGTACTCTGTACACTGCCAGAGGAAAAAGTTAAACCCCAGCACACCGACAACATCTGCTGTAGGCACAAGTTTCTGTCCTGCACACTGCTCCCAAATAAGCACTTGGAGGCTTAATATTAATTAGAAATGCTGGGCCAATAGCTCAGGCTTGTTGAAAGCTAACTCTTACTTCTAAATTAACCCAAATTTCTTATCTGTGCTTTGCTACTTGGTAACTTTTCTCAGTACAGCATGTCTATCTTCACTCTGCATCTGCTTGAGACTTCCGTCTCTACCCTTTCTCTTATGAGCATTTTTTTTTGACTCAGCCTGTCTCACCAAATCTCTTTCTGCCCAGCTGTCAGCCAATCAGCTTTTTATTAGAAATGAGAACAATGCATATTTACAATGTACAAAGTATGTTCCACAGCATTTCCAACTTTTTGTGTAATTTAAAAGGAATGTTTTATATTTAACATAGTAAAATTATATTCAATAAAACAGTTATCAAGTAAGAATTACAGTTACAATATTCAGTCCATTTGCATTTTGCAAAATTAGAGAAAATATTCTATTATGTATGTTATCATTGTGAATCTAACGTTTTATACCTAATTTACCTTTTATCAAAGCTAAAGAAGGCTATAAGTTTGAGTATTTAGTCTTTAACTCCATCAAAGACCCTAGAAGTGTGAAATGTTACCTAACAACAGGGATGTCTGACTGCCTGGACAGTCACCCAAAGTCCTTCTGTAATGTTGAGGCATATAAATTTGGCCTTTGGGCCTGGTATATCTGACAGACAATTCTCAGAAGCAGGGAAGTTTGAAGAACCTTTCTATCTTGTTTTGGCAATTTTTGGCAGTCATTTTCTTTTGTGTATTGCTTTTGTGTTTTGTGACAGTACACCGTCAGTAATTGAGGCAAGGTCAGTATATGACCAAATGAGTAGGTTTTGCCATAAAGAAAATCTCAATATAGAGCTTCTTTGATGCCCATCATCTTTTTTTGATGTAAATTGGGAATGTCTTGAGCAGATGTGTCTCATTGTCATGAAAAGCTTTAGGTAACTAAACACATTCAATGACATATTCTGTAGATATTTGAAGTATTTGAAGACTAACCTCTTCCCCAAAGTAACATATCTTTTGAATTAAATTTGAAGTATTTGAAGACTATCTATCTATCTATCTATCTATCTATCTATCTATCTATCTATCTATCTAAATAAAACTGTGTATGACCTGAAAACATACCTCACATAACTATAAGTTTGACTATTATAGACTACTAACTGCTAACCTGTATTTCTTAATAATACATTATGTTTTTTAAATGAGCTGTATACACACAATACTCTAAACAAGAGTAGAAATATGCATACAGCCTAACAAAATTAACTTTAAATTTGAATCAATATACCAAAATTCATACCAATGGAAAATATTTAAGACTACTAGTTGCTTTTTTGGTTTAAAGGTAGATGTAATAATCTATCTTTTTATTTTATCATTTCTCTCTCTCTATATATATATTTTTGTATTTAACTCTTTAGTTACTTTTTTTAAAAAAACTACGACCAATAACAACTTGTAGCCAACCTCCTTTAAATTATAATGGACATTCATAACACATTTATGGGAATATGGGCATCTTTCTCTGAACTACTTCCTATTGTTTGGGGGTGCTGACATTTGTGAAGGAACCTTGAGAAAATTGGGATAACAGTCCTGGCTGGAGTATTCTGTGAGGCTGGACCATCTCAGCCAGCAGCCTTGGAATTGTTCTGGAAGCTGGATCATCTGGTCATCTGTTTTTATTGGTGTCTGGTTCCATTCCCTTGTTCTGAAAGTACATGAATTAAAAGGCAACATACATTACAAATATGGTTATGTGGTATGCATAAGTCAGTTAAAGATCTTTTTTTTATGTCTGAGGGGGTAAAATACATGTTACCTATACTTGTAACCAGGATATCAGAGAGTCTTCCTCAATTAAACCTAATTTTCTTTTTTTTTCTATTTTTACTTTTACTGTTTTTTTTTATTTTGCAATACAATTCAGTTCTACATATCAGTCACAGATTCCCTTATTCTCCCCGCTCCTGCCCCCCTCACCTTCCCCCCAGCCCACCCCCCATTCCTACCTCCTCCAGGGCAAAGCCTCCCCCCGTGGACTGAGATCAACCTGGTAGACTCAGTCCCAAACCTGATTTTCTTTAATCAAGAATCAATCTTCTCATCTTGGTGGAAATATGAGCATAACCTCTTCCCCAAAGTAACATATCTTTTGAATTAAATTTTGAAGTGAAGATGTTTTTAAACATATAGGTTGGTTTAATGTAGCAGGTTTCATAATCAAATGTGTCTTAGCTGCTGTAGTTTATCAGCAATCAGAAAATATAAGGCAGGCTCCCGTGCATGCGAGTTTGGGAAAGGGCGACCCTGGTGTTCTGTGTGCTGCGCTGTGACCCGCTGCCGGGACCTGTGAGGAGAGCCCGGCAAGCTGGGAATCCGCCATGGATGCAGTGACCTATGAGGATGTGCATGTAAACTTCACTCATGAAGAATGGGCTTTGCTGGATCCTTCCCAGAAGAGTCTCTACAAAGATGTGATGCTGGAAACCTACTGGAACCTCACTTCTATAGGTTACAAATGGGAAGGCCATAATATTGAAGAACACTGTCAGTGCTGTAGAAGAATTGGAAGGTGTGTCATCTGTCACTCTGGATACAATCCATGTGAGCATAAGGGATATGGAAAGAAGCATTGTAGTTCTGTCTCTCTTAGAACAAGTGGAAGATATGTGGTAGTCCCCACTTTGAGAAGACATGATGACTGTGATACAAGTTTACAATTAACTGGTTTTCCAACTTCAGTGGAAATTCATCAACAAACTTTCATTGGAGAAACCCTTATGAGTACCAGGAATATAGAAATTCATCTCTCTCTTCTGGTTCACTGTGCACATGTAGTGTAGCTCACAGTATAAGAAAATGTTATAGATGCAATCAGTGTGGTCCAACTCTGAGTTCTTCAAGTTCTCTTCAAGGATGTGAAAAAACTCATGTGTTAAGAGAAAATAATAAATGTGAGTCATCTACCAAAGGCTTTAGCCATTACAGGCATTTTCAAACAAACCAAACACCCAATAATGAAGAGAATCTACATGAATATAATCAATGTGATAAAGTCTTTAGTTGTGATTGCTCTTTAAAACACCAAAGAACTCATTTGGAAGGAAAACCCTGTGATTATAATCAAAGATATAAAGGCTTTGCATGTCACAGTCTTCATCAAGTACATAGAATTCAAACTAGGGAGAAAAGGTATGAATCTCAGCAATGTGATAAAGCCTTTGCATGTCCCATAATACATAATTTAAGTTACACTGGAGAGAAACCCTATGAATGTAATCAATGTGGCAAAGCCTTTGCAGAGAAGAGTCATCTTCACAGTCATGAAAGAATTCATAATGGTGAGAAACTCTATGAATGTAATCAGTGTGGTAAAGCCTTTGCACAGAAGAGTCATCTTCTCAGTCATGCAAGAATACATACTGGAGAGAAACCCTATGAATGTAATCAATGTGGTAAAGCCTTTGCAGAGAAAAAAAAATCTTCACAGACATGAAATAGTTCATACCGGAGAGAAACCCTGTGAATGTAATGAATGTGGTAAAACCTTTGTACAGAAGAGTCATCTTCTCAGTCATGAAATAATTCATACTGGAGAGAAACCCTATGAATGTAATCAATGTGGTAAAGCCTTTGCAGAGAAGAGAAATCTTCACAGACATGAAATAATACATACTGGAGAGAAACCCTATGAATGTAATGAATGTGGTAGAGCCTTTGCAGAGAAGAGAAATCTTCACAGACATGAAATAATTCATACTGGAGAGAAACAGTATGAATGCAATGAATGTGGTAAAACCTTGCTGTACCGGTGATGCCAATGGGCACGCCCAGGCACCGACACCAGAGGTGTCCACTGCTTAAGTCGGGTGATCCTTTCATCCCCAACCCTTCTCTTACTGTCCCCAAGACCTTGCCAATGAAATAAAGGGTCCCCATCAGGCAAAAAAAAAAAAGAAAATATAAGGCAACATAATAACATACAGAATCCAGTCTCTCTGTCTATTTTCCATCTTTATATGGCTTATTTTTTATATTACTTTCGTCCCTTTTTAAATACTTTATTTTATTATTGTAGAACTATATATATTTATATATTTATATTATGACTCTCTATACTTTCTCTTTTTTCTCTCAAGTCTACATATATTTATAAATACACTGTAACCAATTTAGAAGTTTTTTCCATCTGAATCTGTCTTTACTGCATATCTACAATCTTTTCTGTCTGCATGAACAAAACCCAAAATTGCCACATTGGGCAGTGGCTGAGAGACACCTCTCTGTACCATGGCATGTGTGAGAAATTGAGGAAACCTGCTTTGTGGCTTAACTCATGATATACTGGTATCTGCCAGAAGTCACAGTAGCCTTGAGAGACATGAGACTAGGAAGCCAAATTTGGCTTCATTTTTTTGTGTGTAAAAACTTGTTTAAGCTTTCTCTCAGATCTTATGTGAAAATTCCAGTCCCGTGTTGGAACACCATTTGTTTTTAGACTTGTTTTTCCTGCCCTCCAGTTTCTAAATAACCAACACAGAGACTCAATATTAATAATAAATGATCAGTCAATATCTCAGGCTTGTTACTAGCTAACTCTTACATGTAAATTAACACACATTTCTTATCTATGTTTTGTCACATGGCTTGGTACCTTTCCTCAGGACAGCATGCCCATCTTGCTTCTCTCAGCACCGGCTCTTGACTCCAGACTCTGTCCATCCTCTTCCCATCATTTACTCTATGTTAGGCTGTATCACCCAAAATCTTCTTGCCCAACTGTCAGGTAATCACCTTGCTATTAACAATAAGAGTAATATATATTTACAGTGTACAAAGATTGTTCCACAGCACCCTGCAATCTACAATAATGACCGGCTTGCAAAACTACCCTCTTGTGATAGTGGCACAAAAGTTATGGGAGCAACCAATAACTCTCTGTAATTAAGGCCTACTCTGTGAGACAGAACTCATGCCTGATACCATTGAAGTGGCCAAGAACCTGAGGCTAGATAGGCCAGGGACCTAGGGGAAACCAAATGTTATTTTCCTGTTAATGGAATGTAGCAATAAAATGACTCCTAATGACATCTGCTATGCTCATAAATCAGCACCTTGCTCATTTATCATCAGAGACGCTTTCTCCTGCAGCAGATGGGAACAAATACAGACATCCACAGCCAGACACACTGCAGAGAGTGAGAGATCTTGGAACACTCAATCCTAAATGATTGTTTTCAACAAGCCCATTCCTTTAGGACTTAGGGAATTCTGCAGAATAGGAGAATTTATGTGGGAGCTGGGTGGTGGGCCCCTCAAAACAGTCAAAGAGGAAAAACAACGACTACTACTACTACTACTCTGCTCTGCTCTGCTCTGTGTTACTTTGCCTGTCTAAAACACCTGAGAGACAGTGGGTATCCTGGGTGCCAGACAGAGACGGACACTAGGCAAGGGTGGCCTCTGGGGACCCAGCAGAGTGTTCAGTACATGGTCTGTTTAAGAGGCCATCTGCAGGAGAATGTCCAGAGACAATGCTTGATCTTTGATCCAAATACTGGAGTGTGAGCTTTGGGCAGCAGAGTGACACCACACAGCTCAAGGAAGATGGGGAGTGGCCCCTGCTCCTCAGCTGAGTGTGGATCCTGTTTCTTAACCAAATGGGGGGAGGCTACAGAGACTCAACTGTTTCCCCTTGGTGTGAGTCCTCAGTACACACTTCATCGAAATCTGAACCTTCAGAAAATTTGATATGAGCTTTAATTTTGAAGAGATGCAATCTGACAGAAAAGAAGCAATTGGGTATTGCTAAAAATCTGTTGAGTTTAGTATGTTCTGTGTGTCTTGGTGATATCTCAGCTGTTACTGTTGCAACTATCTGCCTGGGCTCAGAATTTGCCTCTGGGATTTCTGGCTCCTGAATCTAGTGTGATAACAGAGATTCATATGTCATTTTGTTATAAATAATATTGAAGTTGTTTCGTGCTATTCTACTTTACTTTAAAAACAGCTAAACTGGAGCTGCTCTGGAAAACAACACGTGATTCTCCACCATCTTAACTAAATGAAGTGCAGTCAGTAGGCTGGCAGTCATCTCTGCTAGGGCTGGAGAAGACAGAGGTCATGTGACTTCATTGCCATCTTAACAAAAGGTGACCACATGGAGTGGGCCTACCAAGGAGGCAACAACAGGTGTCCAAGATATTTTAGATTATGATGTATTTTTGTATAATTCCTGTCCTGTTCTGAAAACAAAGTTTATAAAAGATAGATGTAAAACATTCCTATTTAATGAGGTATTAAAACAAGTGAGTTAGACATACATTCCTAAATCTGTCTCTGTTGGCCTGAATAGACCTTACCTAAGGGAAGACCCTTTGCTAGACTGCTTATGTTGTTCTCTTAGTGGTATACCTCGGCAGAACCTACTGAAATGTACCCACTCACTCTTGTTTTTGTTTGAAGACTCTCTGAATGTGCAGATTTGGAGAAAGAGACAGGAATGGGGTTTCTCAGACCATGCAGGGATTAGTCGGAAGTCCAAACTGAACAAGACCTTTGCAAATGTTGCTTGTGAAAACTCTGAAGACTATTACTTTTAACAAAACAATATTGGCTCAGTATCTTGAGATGCTAATCACTCCTACAATACATACAATTTAATTTGAAAATAGATTCCAGATAATTGTAGCACGAGACCTACTTTTTCTAAAATCATTTGTTGCTCAAATGTGTCTTAAAGTGTATAGACACTGAGCTGTGGTGGTTTGAATAAGAATGGATCCCATAGGTTCATGTATTTGAATACTTGGTCCCCATTGGTGGAAAGGTTAGGAAGTATTGCCTTTGAGGAGGAAGTGTGTCCCTGGGCATGGCCTTTGAGGATTCAAAAGACTTGCATCATTCCCAGTTAGTTCTTTGTCTTGGCTTGTGGGTCAAGACATGAGCTCTCAGCTATTGCTACAGTGCCATGCTGCCTGCTGCCTGCCCCGCTCCCTGCCGTGACAGTCATCAGCTCTAACTCTCTGAAAACTCTAAGGCCCCAACTATCTCTTTCTTCTATAAGTTGTTTTGGTCATGGTGTCTTATCCCAGTAATAGAAAAGTGACTAAGACAGGCCTCAATCACCTTCCTTCTTCATAGGACCGCATCACACCAGCTGCAGGTATTGGTTCACCTTGGGAAGGAAGGACAATCAAAATCAAACTATAGGGTGTCTGATAAGAGGTTTTATACAGACCCTATCTGACAAAGCCAAGGGATGGGTGGGTGTTATCCAAGCAAAGGGGTTGAAAGAACTCTGGAGAGTATGGAGGAAGAGATGCATTCATAATGGCCTCACACAGGAGCGAGGGTCCTTCACAATCTACATCCACAGAAGGATTTGAGAATGGAGCAGCTGGGAAATGATATCAACCCAGTGCTTGCACATGGCCTGGGGTGGGGGAGAGATACAGAAAAACATAAAGTACCTCTCAGTAAAGTCTGTAGACACTTCCTTTGAGGATGAAGGACAGAGAGGAGGAATGATGGGAAAGACATTGGAGGAATCCCCATGACATATGAAGTCCACCTGGCCCTCAGTCTGTCTCTACCCTGTGTATATGCTCTCTAGTCCTCCTGTCCCTCTCTATCCCTCCCTATGTCCTTCATCAATTTACCTCTACATTATAATCACTTCCTGCTATGAACTTCACTCTCCCCTACTCTTAAATAAAAAGAAACTACAAAGCTGAAAGAGAATGTTCAAAGGAGGCAGGTTCCCACTGCTCAGGTCTCAGTAGTCACAGATGTGATGTAATGTCGCCCTGGGGAGGGATAGAAAGAGAGGTGCAATGGGTACAGAGTCATGGAGTTCCTACTATGATGACATAGTAGAAAAAGATGTTTTCAAGGTGGTTCTTGAACATTTCTCTCATAACATCACTTCCATGATTCCAAAATGTCTGGGTCTTCTTCAACAAACAAGCAACAGTTCAGTTCTGCAGCAGACACCAGCTGTGCAACCTCTAAGTCAGGTCAGCTCTGACACTGAGACCCTGTCAGACCTCACATGTCAGGCTGTGCCCCAAGGTTGTCCCTCTCACATGAGATGCCACTTCCAAGCCCCAGACTGTCTTACCTGTGCTTCTGAGAAAGCGTGCACACCCTGGGGTCCTACAACCCCTCACTGCATGTGGTTAGTTCCTGCAGTTCCTGTTGAACTTCAGAGACTAAAGCTTACATCCATTAGCTTCCTATGAAGGATACCACAAAGGGTATGGAGGAAGCAGAGCACAGGCTGAGGAATGAGAAAGGGGAACAAGGCTTCTACATTCTTGTTTGATGTACTAACTCCAAGAATGTCTAACTGTTCAGCTACCCAGAATCTTAGGTGGCTGGGCCTTCCTGCATCAGTTGATAGTCGAGACAATGCCCGTAAGGTCAATCTGATGTAGGCAATTCTTCAGTTAAGGTTCCTTTTTTTCAGATGACTCTAGGTTATGTTGTGTTCAAGCAAGGCTAATCAAACATGGCCAAAAGAGTATTTGCTCAGTGTGTTAGCTGTAATACTCCTTGTTATTATTTTTATAAATTTCTCTTTTCCACAACTTCTTTGAGCATCTCATAGTTAACTGCAGAGTAGGCATATGCTCATCTGAATGATATGTCATTATTTCTTGGAACAAGCAGCCTTTGATAATTTGTTTGCTGGTTAGTTTGTTTAGATAGATAGCTGTAGGTAAACAAATCACCCTTTGGTAGAAACTCTCTAAGGCTTATCCAATCTACAGCCCATAGGCCCATGTAGCCAAGGATATCTATAAATTCAGCCCAACACAAAGCTGAGAATTTACTTGGAACATTATGAAAAATTCATTACAGTTTTTTGACTCCACTATGGTTTGACCATGAACTTTGTAGGTGACCAAGTCTGGTTGCAGTTTCCAAAGTTTGGACATATCTGCACAGAAGGGGCTCACAGACTTTCTGGTGGTTAAAGTCCATACAAAGACCAGTGTAGGTCCTATATGGAGCTAATTTTGCAGAGTCTTTCTCTATAAACACAACAGCGTTTACTCTAGACACAGAGAGCACGTTTTTTGCACTTGTTCACACTTTGAATGCCTACTTCATATTATCTGAAAGTTGTGTAGACGTGCATTGGTACACACTTAGGTTCTAGAAATAGATAGGTGGATATTCTCCAATTAGAGACATGGTCTTTTCTATAATACAGTTAAGAACAAGGAAGGCAAGCATTATATAACAAGCCCATTGAAGGATGACTGTGAACTTTTATCTTCATCCCACTCACCCTCACCTTCCCTAATAAAGCTTCCCTTGAGACTCTACCAGTACCTTGGTTTGACAGTACCTCATAGGATAGTATGTTCCAAGCTGACATGTACTCCTTTCCTCTAATATGTAGGTACAGGAGATACAGCTTGCTTGTATGCAGCCTGCTTGAACATTTCAATTTCTATAATTCTTTTTTAACATCTTTGTTTCCTTTTGTTGAAAATAGATTTTTTCTCACATAATATATCCTGATTATGGTTTTCCATCCTCTAACACCTCCTGGCTTCTCCCACCTCCTCTCCCATCTGAATCTACCCCCTTTATGTCTCTTATTAGTAATCAACCAGGCTTCTATAAGATAATAATGATATAAAATAAAATATAATAAGATAAAACACAAACTAACACAACAAAAGTGAATAAACAAACAAGAAATGAAAAGAGCCCGAGAGAAGGCACAAGAAACAGAAACTCATTAGTTTGCACACTCAGCAATCCCATAAAAAAAACTCAGCTGGAAGCTATAATATATTTTCTATGGGCCCTGGTTTTATCATACAAATCTTTCACTTGTTTGCTTAGAGTTACCCCAAGATATTGTAAATTATCTGAGGTTATTGAAAGGTTGTTGTTTCCCTAATTTCTTTCTCAATCTATTTGTCACTTGTATGTAGGATGGCTCTTGATTTATGTGAGTTAATTTGGTATCCTGCTACTTTGCTGAAGGTGTTTGTCAGCTGTAGGAGCTATCTCATGGAATTTTTATGATCACTTAAGACTATCGTATTATCTGCAAATAAAGATATTTTGACTTCTTCCTTTTCAAGATGTATTTCCTTCATCTTCATCAGTTGTGTTGTTGCTCTAGTCAAGACTTCAAGTACTGTATTGAATAGATATGGAGAGAGTGTACAACATTTTCTTGTTCCTGATGTTAGCAGAAAGACTTTGAGTTTGTCTTCATTTAAGTTGATGTTGGCTATCTGTTTGCTGAATATTGCCCTTATTCTGTTGAGTTATGTATGTTCTTTCTATTCTTGATCTCTCCAGGACTTTTGTCATGAAGGGCTGTTGGATTCTGTCAAAGATGTTTTCTACATCTAATGGGATGATCCTGTGGTGTTTGGCTCTCAGTTTGTTTATGTGGTGGTTTATATTTATCAACTTACATATGTTGAACCATCCCTGCATCTCTTGGATGAAGCCTACTTGATCATGGTGGATGATTTATTTGATGTGCTCTTGGATTCAATTTGAAAGTATTTTATTCATAAGAGACACTGTTCTGTAGCTATTTCTTTGTGGGTATTTATGTATTGTGGGTATCAAAGTAGCTGTGGCCTTGTAAAACAAATTGAGCACTGTTCCTTCTGTTTATATTTTGTAGAATAATTTGAGAAGTATTGGTATTAACATTTCTTTGAGAGTCTGGCAGGATTCTTTGTTAAAACCATCTTGTCCTGGGCTCTTTTGTGGTTAGGAGACTTTTAATGACTGCTTCTATTTCACTAGGGGTTATGGGTCTGTTTAAATTGCTTATCTGACCTTGATTTAACTTTGATAAGTGGTATGTATGGACAAAATTATCTATATTTTTCCTTTAAGATTTTCAATTTGGTGGAGTGCAGCTTTTTAAAGTATTCCCATAATTCTCAGGATTTCCTTACACTCTGTTGTCATGTCCCCTGTTTCAGCTGTAATTTTACTAATTTGGATATTTTCTCTCTACCTTATAATTAATTTGTATAAAGTTTTATTAATCTTATTGCTTTTTTCAAAGAACCAAGTCTTTGTTTCATTGATTCTTGTATTCTTTTTTCTTTGTATTTTATTTATTTCAGCCTTGAATTTGATTATTTCTTGCTGTCTACTCCTTTTAGGTGTATTTCTTCTTTTTGCTCTAGAGCTTTCAGGGGTAATATTAAGTTAGTAGAATGAGATCTCTGTTTTTGATGTAGGCAGTTAGTGCTGTGAACTTAATTCTTAGAATAGTATCATTGTGTCCATTAAGTTTGGGTATATTGTGTTTTCATATCATTCAATTCTAAATTTTTTAATTTCTTTCTTATTTTCTGTCTTGACCCATTTTTCATTCAGTAGAGCATTGTTCAGTTTCCATGAGTTTCGGTTTGTAAGCTTTCTGTTGTTGTTGAGATCCAGTTTTACTACGTGAAGTTCAGATAGGATGCAGGGTGTTATTTCAAAAAAACTTTTTGTGTGTGTATGTCTGTTGAGACTTGCTTTGTGATCAAGTGTGTGGTCAATTTTGGAGAAAGTTCCATGAGGTGCTGAGAAGAAGGTATATTCTTTCGTGTTTGGA